AGCTTCTATTCTTGCATGTAATTTATATTTATTTGTTTGTATACAAATTAAGTCTTTATATAGTCTCTATGTAATTATTATATAAATTATCTAATAAAGATATGAGCAAGGCCTCATCTTAAAACCAAAAAAAATAAAAAAATAAAAATAGACTGTGTGCACAATGTGCTCCATGTGCAAAAATATATGCTCATGAGCACATTGAGCATATAGATTTTATATATTGCTCATAATTATGTATATCCGGAATATTTCGGAATACCATATAAGTGACATGCCCTATTGACTATTTAAGTATTGGGCATGCCTGTGACCTCTGTGCCACTTACCCTAATTAAATAGCTTTGATTGTAGAATACGATTAATTTCAATTATTTCTACCCTAATTATTTATTTCTTTTTTTATTTATTTTTACTATATACAAAAAAAATCTTTCATTGATACCGTATTGTCGCGAGGCCGGGGCGTTATTTAGAGTAATGATCCGAATTAAGCTTAATTTAGGCCAAAATTTGAAATTACACTCCGGCGCGTTATTTCGCGACAATACGGTACATTTATATTTCCAATCATATCTATACTAAAATTAAATCTCGATATTACTGATGTACAAATAGCTACCAGCATATTAGCTTAATCATAATCTGTTAGAACGAACAAATATTAAGTTTCAACAGTTTCGGGGTTCGGATAGGGTTTTGGGGTTTCGGATGAGGTTTCGGTGTTTCGGATGGGGTTTCGGAAACTATAATCCGAAACCCGAAACTTTCGGGTTTGGCAAAAAAGGTTTCGCTACCCAACTCTAGTGTCTACTATTATGCGATTTACAAACACAATACAGACCACATAGTTAATCGTTAGTATTAAGCTTATTCTTGTTAAATAGTATATGTGCAATGTTCTTCAAGTTAAAACTTACATGTACGGTACGTTTCAAATTGTTTTTCGTTCTGTTTTTTAGCACTTAGAATATACAGTCGTCCCTCGTTAATATCAACCCCGTTAATATCAACCTCTTGTTAATATCAACCTTTTATTAAGAACAAATATGCTTAAGAAATATAAAAACTATTCCTTTGTTATCAACCCTCGCATATATCAATATAATTGTCTAATTCAAATGGGTTGATATAAATGAGGGACGACTGTAATATATCGTGTAATAGTAATGAATAAAAAAATAAGCTTTTTTTAAAGTCATTTTCAAGGAAAAGACTCCATATCTCTTTCTTAATTCAATTAATAATTAGAATTTGTAGCGTGTAAAAAGTTTTTATATGAAACTTTGGTTCAACTAATAAAAAAATGTGAATCTAAACAAATTAATTGTGGCTAAGTTTGACCTGAATTCTATATGTAAAAGCAAAACAGGGATATTTATCTATACTTATTTTCATTAAATGGATATACGTCACCAATAATAATGATCACAAAAATTTATTCAACGCATATCGATTTATACAAAAGATAATTAATAGTCAATATATGTTAAGCATAGTTAAGTGTCTAGTTCTGTAGTTGAATAATCTACAACTATTCAATTCAAAAAAAAGACAAATATCAATGGCATATAGAAATCGAAAAAAATAACTATAGAGGAGATGCAGCGCAAGCCACCATACATGCACCTTGTGCAATATTGCATGCATGTACGACAAGTGGTGCGCCTGTTCCGCCGGTCACAGTACCTTTATCAATGTACAAAATTCATTACATTAATATTGTTATATTAAGATGAAAATTTATTTATTAGCTAAAAAAAATTTACCCGCTATAAATCCTAAGGCAGCATAGCATTTAACCCATCCTATATTACAAGCAGTTTGACATAATGGACCGGCTACAGTTACGGATGAGGTTAAAACCAAAAGAACAAAAATAATTGCGATTAATTTTTTGCTCATTTCGTATTTTCAATTGAATATGTTGTAATTGATTTATTCTGTTAACAATAAAAGAGGATAATTAGAAATATTTAAATATAGGATATTAAATTCATCAAGTTCAATGAATTTATAAAGTTACGCAAGAAATTGTTATCCGTTAAAGTTGTTCGTTGTAAACTATTTGCTGAATTTTTTTAAGTAAAAATTTTTGATGAGATATTTTATATACTTTCTTGAAATATCCTAACTATTTACTAAGTTCACGTGATGAATATAATATACTATTTGGCTCTATTACGTAGACAATAGCGAAAACATAAACAATATGAGTTTGAATCTATCAAGAGTATAATTATCAGCAATGGTTACGTTCTGATCGAACGACTTTTTAACTCTTTTCTAGAATATTATAGTCTACCAAGATAGTGTGAAAAGTTTAACCATATTTAAGATTTCATTATTTTAACTTTGTTTTAGCTAAAATTAAATTAGTACTTCATCACATTATTATGATTAAACTGGATAAACTAATAAGCCATTATATAACACAATTACTATTAAGAATGATGGCAAAATTTTCTAATTGAATTACTATGATTTATGTTAGTAATTAAATGACGTTTTTACACCCAATCAAACAAGTCATTTGTATTAAAGTTAAATTATTAAATTATACATACGCGTAGCATAGTTATGTATTAGAGTAGATATACACAATATTATACGTTTTAATGATGTTACAGGTAAGGGTAATATATTTTTTGCTTCTATATTTATAAAGTAAAAGTTAACGGTTATAAAGTATTTGAGAGAAATTTAAGTACGTACAATACCCTATATGTTGATTTTTTAAGTACGCCAACGGTGGACTTTGAGATCATATTTAACTGAAAATTCATACCTCCTTTCATGAAACGATAATATTAAATTAAATTCTTATTGTAAATTGCCAGTGCTGTCAGTAGTGATTCGAATCGACTAAAATTTTTTAATTGACTAGTCAGACTAATTTTATGACTAGTTGACTAGTCGCATAATATATATAGTAAATATAATAAACTACAGTTTATTAGTCAACTAATCAAAATATTTGGTTAACTATTAGACTATATTGGTGTTAAGGATAGGAATCATAAAGTCATTAGTCGACTAATCGACTAATCAACTAATCGACTAGTTGACTAATCGACTAATCAATTAATCAGACAATCGAATAATTAACTAATAATAGTAATTAATCAAAAGTTAATAGAAAAATTTAATTGGTTAACTATTGTTCATATAATATCTAATTAACGGATTAGTTGATTATTCGGACTAGTCGACTAGTCAATTTGTCAATTGTCGATTAGTCGACTAGTCGATTAATTGATTTTTAGTCAGTCGATGACTAACGGATTTAGTCGACTGGCTAATCGACTAAAAATTTCTGACCGATTCCTATCCTTAACCCAAATGTCAATTTGCTAAATGTATGTCTGCAACTAATCAAATGCTAACCCTAACGCTATGTGATGTCAGCTAAAAAAGTCAGTGAAGTGTGTTCTTATGCATGAAATGTATTAACAATCTATTTATTGAAAGCGTCGGCCCAAGGTAATTGTGCATGCTTATATTTCAGAGCTCTATATAGTGAAATGTGAATAGTGAGCATGATATATATGTACAGTACATATAACCGATGGCAGACTTTATTATAAGTTTAAAACAGTTACAACACCTACCATATTATTTGCTGTAAAAACAGTAAACTGTATTGATGCATTGTTATAATGTTGTAATGAAAGATTGTAAAGATACATTAATAGAATGAGAAGCACTATAAAAGTGAGATTAATAGAAATTATAACAGTATGGCAATATTGCAATACGGAATTATAGAAATATGATATATAGATGGCATTATAGCAATGTGGCATTATTTGATTTAATTTATAGTAATAAAATTATAGCTTTATAGCATTCAATATTTTATGCCTAACATATACCATAATGATTATGCCAGGATTCAGTAATTACGGTAACTACTATACATACAGTACAGATCTGAATATTAAGATCAGGTTAGTACAGCATTGTAAGTTTAGCTTTCTGAATATAATCCACTGATTTATTCGTTCCTGGTCTTAGTGCAACTACAACTACATTGCGCAGCCACCTTATTCATATAAATTATTACAGTCATCCTCCCATACAATCACACAGTTGGGCACATAGTAACTTTTTAAAAAAATGTGCTTATAAAAAGGTTGTGCTTATATGTAAGTTTTTTTTTTTATAAATTAAATCATACATTACAAAAATCTATCAAAATTGAGCTTGCTAAAAATAAGCTATTTAACAGTACTGATAATGTACTAACAAAAGCAAATTTTGACAAATATAAATACAGTCAAACCTCTCTATAGTTACCTCCTATATATGCACATTTTTTTACAACAATTTATTATTAAATATAATAAATTTGACCTCTATAATTGTCACACTTATTTACAATTACACAATTTTGTGTGACTATTAAGAGATCTGATTGTACTTTTAGCACTTTATTATAGAAATTTAATTTTATAAATATATTTGCCAATTACTATGCTATAAAATACTAATATTGGCAATATTTTAGTAATAATAAAGGTCTAAAAAATCACTAATATTTAATTAATTATTGGATTTTTAATAGTGCTAACAATAAAATAATCTTCTTTGCTAAATTCTTACATTTTTGCAAAAGCAACAAAATATTCTAGATTTAGTATTATTTAATAATATAAAAAAAAAATTTCTATGATAAGTTGTAAATTTAGGTTCTTATTAGCACTATTAATGAGGTTTTAACAAGGATTTTTGAAAAAATTCTAATTTTTTGTATTTTTTTTCAAACCAACTTTTTAAAACCTTGTCAAAACCTTATTAAAAGTGCTAGTAAAAAACTGAATTTGTAATTA